CCCGCGTCCCCTGCATCGGCAGGCGGACGCTCAACCACTGCGCCACCAGGGAAGCCCCCATTTTTACTTTTATAAAAATACAGAATTAAGATGTTATGGTTATCTGTCATTGAATTGTAAAGTTTTAGTTTGGAAGAGATCTTAAAAATCCTAATCACCTTGTATAATCCAAATTATACATTTTATGAAAATATGTATAAAGCTTTTCTTCAGATTTTCACATTGTGCAAATGTATGTAATCATGATAGTATGAGTGAAACATATAGTTTTCTCCATAAAGATTTTATAATCAACTAATTAGACATGTGTGTTGCTAAGATTACTAAACAAACCCTCTTAAATTATATAGCCAATTATTTGAATACATAATTATAAATGATAAACCAATGTTTGCATTAGTTTTTTAGTATACTGAAAAATAATTTTTTTTACTTTTTTTTTTTCTTAGATTTTTTAAATAGTGGGCTTTAACTTTCTTAAAGTACTTTTATACTTAAGAAGTGTGGTACAGTATATTTTATTAACTACTAGACAGACTTATTTTGGAGGATATGGATTTGACTTCCCTCAGGATCTACATGGATAAGAGAGACTGATCTAGTTGGCTTTGATAGATTATATGTGCCTTAAATTACTTTTTGAGGTTTTTTCTACCTGTAGTTATATATATATGTATATGGTTTACCCAAGGGTCATAATATGTATAAAATATATCTCTCCTGACCAAATGAATTTTATTTTTTATGTTTAGGATAAATTTATTCACCATACGGCTCCAGTTGAAAAATCACATGGCAGACTGCAAACCAGAACATCAAGGTCACAAAAGAAAACATCCAAATCACCTGAGAGAAATAAATATTGCATAAATGCAAAAAACTACGAACAGCCTACAATTTCTTCAAAATCACACTCTCCATCTCCTTACACAAAAAGACGCATGTGTGAGCTATCTGAAGACACTAGGCAGCGGCTGGCCCATTTAAATCTGGGGCCCTATGAATTCAAAAAAGAAACAGATAAACCTCCATTTGTGATTAGACATGTATGTGTTCTCTGAAACATTTCCATTTGAAACTGATCTAATCTGTTCTTCCACTAAAATATTATTCTCAAATTTCTTTCAACTTCTAGCTTATATTAATAATTTTCTTTCCTGAACTGTTAACCTAGCAATCTAAAATGGAAAATTAACTTGATAAAAGAACATTCTTTTGCAGCCTTTAAACCAGACAGAGATCAAGCTCCATTATGAATGCCATGTTAAATCCTCTCAGTAGCCATTTCCTTTCCTCTCATACAGTGGACCGTGTAATAACTTTACAAATTGAACTGAGATGTAATTGACATTAGTTCTAAAATGGCAGAGTAGGGCATTAAAAGAGGACCAAGTTTTCTTTGTGGAAAGGAAGACACCCTCCTCCCCCAGCCTTTTAAAAAATTATAATGGAAAAGTAAGTTTCTCTTGAAATTATGTCCCTTGGATAAACCTTATATAATGGATCTTTGAAGTAAGTCTTTATTTGATGGGAAGAGGAAGGCCTTTGAAAGAAAGAGTTAACTTCAAGGGTAACATAGTTTCTAATCTTTCTATATGGAAGCCTGTTTTGGTATGGTTTGAGTTTAGAGCTTGTGTCCATATAGTCAAATAGACTCTGGATAATTTTAAGGGTCTATAATCAGAATATTTTAAAAAAGACTTTCTCAGAATCTTCATAATTTCTTTAATTTTTATCAAAATATATTACCTTAAAAGTATTTCTTTAAGAAAAGCTTGCAAATTAATAAAAATTGTTTTATATAATAATAAACTTGAAGATTTAAGTGCCTATAGAAGCAAAACAACTTTGGGGATGTCTATGAAACACTTTCTGACTTTGTTTCTAATGCATTTTTTTCCAAATTTTAAAACGTAAATATCAGTACAAACATGTAAACATGCTCCTGTGATGGTCTAATAGCTTTTTTAACATACGCCACCTAGAAGTTCAGATTTTCTTTGTGATACCTTTTTAAAAAAATTTAGCTGTGCCTTAAGCAATATTTCATTCCATTTTCATATTTTGACTATGAATCCTTTATTATTTTAGCCTAAGTAATAGATTTTTTATTGTAAAAAAGAAAATTTATAATATAATGGACACTTTTAAAAGATAATATTTTATTGAGATTATTGTGATTATACTTGTCTTATTCCTATAGAACTTGTTTATAGGTTCTGGTCACATTTTTTTTTGTTGTTTGAACAATATCCAGATATATTTACTTGCTTGTTTGATGGCAATTTCAGAATGCCTTTAATTCTGTTTGCTCATAATTGCAAATTAAATTGAAAAGAAAGGACATGCTAAATTCTAATCTGAAGAAATATTAGCATTTTAATTAAAATGCCTATGTACGAAGATAACCAGGAATATTTTGAGCGTTAGCCACATAAAAGTTGCTTAGGGAAATAACTGCTCTTAAAATGTTTATTATTATTTTCATGTCACTGTTCAAAATAGAATAATTTTAATAATGCTTGGTATAAATCTTCACATTTTTATTTAAATGATTTCCCTTTCAGCTTTCCATTGAACAGAAAGAAATATATACTTCTAAGCTTATAAAATTGCTTACATTATTGTATAGGACTAGATTTTTTCCAACTGTATAAATGTATGCCTCTCTCAGCCCCATAGGCATTCATGATTTTAAAAGCACTTAACAAAATTGGTAACCAAACAAAATTTTAATTTGATACATGAATATGCAAAATGTAATACGTTTAGGAAAGGCATTCTAGTTTTACAAACACTGTATAAAAAGTAATCTTAAAGAATAAGAAGCCATTTCAGGAATCTAACTAGTACTCTCCCAAACTGGCACAACCATCCTATAAGAGTTAAACTGCATTCTTTGCTTTTTTATTTATGCAGAATAGGATTTTTTTCTATTGTGGTAAAATACTCATAACATAAAATTTACCATTTCAACCATTTTAAAGTGTATAATTCAGTGACATCAAGTATATTCATATTGTGGTGCAGCTGTCACCACTATCTAGTTCCAGAACTTTTTCATCACCCTAAGTGGAAACCCCATGCTCATTAAGCATTCACTCCCCATTTCTTTCCCCAGCCCCTGGCAACCACTGATCTGCTCACTATCTCTATGGACGTACAGTGTTTGACTTTTTGTGTCTTTTTTCATTTAGCACAGTGTTTTCTAGTTTCATTCATGTTGTAGCATGTATCAGTACTTGATTCTTTTTATGACTGAATAATCCATTGTACATTTTGTTTATCCGTTAATCTGTTGATGGACATTTGGGTTTTCAACTTTTAGTTATGTGAATAGTACTTCTATGAACATTCATACACAAGTTTTTGTTTGAATACCTGTTTTAATTCCCAACTGCTTTAAGACCTAGGAGTGGAATTGCTGGGCCATATGGCAATTCTATGTTTAACTTCTTCAGGAATTGCCAAACTTTCCCACAGTGGTTCCTCCATTTTGCTTCCACCAGCAATGTGTGGTGGTTCCAATTTATCCACATTCTCACTAACATTCTCACCACATTCTCATTTTGTTGTTTTATTTTTATTGTAGCCATCCTGAGGAGTGTGGAGTGGTATCTCATTATGGTTTTGATTTGCATTTCCCTAATGACTAATGATGCTGAGCATCTTTTCACATGCTTGTTGCCATTTGCATATCTTCTTTGGAGAAATGTCTATTCAAGTCCTTTGCCCATTTTTAATTGAGTTGTTTGCCTTTTTGTTGAATTCAGTTGTAAATTTTCTGTTATATATTTAGGATTCTAGATCCTTATCAGTTATATGATATGCAAATATTTTTTCTCATTCTGTGGCTTGTCTTTTCACACTCCTTTTTTTAAAGTTAAATTTTAAAAAATTGTGGTAAAATATGCACAATATAAAACTTACTATTTTAACCATTTTTAAGTGTACATTTTAAAGTGTACACATTAAGTACATTCACGTTGTATAATCATCACCACCATCTATCTCCAGAACATTTTTCATCTTGCTAAACTGAAACTGTACCCATTAAACAATAACTCCCCATTCCTCTTTCCCCTTTTTGTCTCTATGAATTTGACTATTTTGGGTACCTCATATAAGTGCTACATAATATATACAATATTTGTCAATTTGTGAATTGCTTGTTTCACTTAGCATAAAGTCATCAAGCTTAACTCATGTTACAGCATGTGTCAGAATTTTCTTCCTTATTACGGCTGCATAATCTTTTACATGTATATACCATATTTTGTTTATTCATTCGTCTGTTGATGGACACAGGTTGCTTCTACCTTTTGGCTGTTGTGAATAATACTGCTGTGAAAATAGTATAGAAATATCTATTCAGGCCCTGGTTTCAGTTCTTTTGGGTATATACCCAGGAGTGGAATTGCTGGATCGTATGACAATCCTATTTTGAGTGTTTTGAGGTGCCACTATGCTGTTTTCCATAGTGGCTACACCAATTTACATTCCTACCAAGAGTGCACAAGTGGTTCAGTTTCTCCATATCCTTGTCAACACTTGTTATTTTCTGGTTTTTGATAATGGCCATCATGACGGTGGTAAACTAGAAGTTTGATTTGTACTTCCTTTATGATTAGTGATGTTGAATGATTTTCCATGTGCTTATTGGTCATTTGTATATGTTTTGGAGAAATGTCTTCTTAAGTTCTTTGCCCAACTTTTAATTGAGTTTTTTTAGATTGAGTTTTAGATGTTTCTTTATATATTCTGGATATTAATGCCTTTTCAGATAATGATTTGCAAATATTTTCTCCTACTACATGGGTTGTCTTTTCACTTTCTTGATATTGTCCTTTTATGTACAAAGTTTTTAATTTTGGTAAGTAGAGCTGTCTTTTTTGCACAGATTTATATCATTCTGACTTTTTTTTTGTTAGAAAATGTGGATAACTGTTAATATCTTTTATTACTATACTCAGAATGCTGACTCCTGAACACAGCCAAGTAAAGACACTAAATTCAAAATCTATATGCTAAGGAGATAAGTAGTAAATGGCTAAACTTGTTTCTTAAATGTGGCAAAGTAAGATTTCCCTGTTTTTAACTTTGTAATAGGAAGCAAACTAGGCAATAAAGTAATGGACATTTCAACTATAAATCTGTTCGTTTTAGAGTGGATTCAAAATATAATTAAAATTTTCTGGAGCTTAACTTAAATTTTATTTAAAAACAAACAGCAAAATACTTGGCTAAGCTCTGATCTTGGAACATCCTTGAACTGTATAGGCAGTATCATGTTAACTTGATGATATGTGATCTATGTACTTCAATCGATTTTCTGATGCCATGAGACTGAAAAAAATATTTAAGCTCCTTTTTACATTGAAATCTTCCTTATTCTAGGTTGATCCCCCAAGTCCCAGGGCTGATGCTTTATTTGGATCTTCTGGCAGAGACTGTGAAAGAGATGGATGGTCCAGGCTGCACAATGGTTAGCTACAAGTTATCTCTCTTTATTTGTTTTAGTTCTCTTGGCTACATTCAAGTCTTTATCTTGGCATCAATTAATAAAAACAGAATCTTGTCTGTATTGGAAAATATGGTATAATGCCACTTTTTACAACTTGTGGGACACCCATGTCGGTACTTTCTAAAAATAATAGAATTTCTGTGCTGCTATAAACCATCTTCATCTTTGAGACTCAAAACACATATTAGCATATTAAAGGCTATGATACCTTTTAGTAAAAAAAAAAAAAAAAAAAAAAACTTTTTGTTTTGCTCAACAATTTCTAAATTTATTTGACCATGAAACCTTTTCCTCTCCTTAACATATATTACTTAGTTTATGGAACAGGCTTTGGGAAACACCATTGTAAAAAGAGTTCAGGTTTATTGGTTTTGGACATACATTTACACATATATTTGAATACTTTCTCTACCACTTATTTATAAACTGGGCATTCTTGAACAAATCACTTTAACTACTCTGATAATCAGTTAGTTTATTGAAGAATGAAGATAACATGATAAATATCACCATGTAAAATGCTCTAGCACACAGGACACTTAATAAATATCAGCTGTCAAAATAATACTTATTTATATTTCTGGAAAGATAATGTCCTTTAGGTTTAGTTTATAATATTTTTTTTTCATTTTTAGGCCTGGTCCTCATGGTTAGATAAGTTGTTTCTTAAGTTCAATATAAAGATGATTTTTATGAAGAAGATTAAATAGTATTTTATAATTAGAGATATGTAAGTGTTAATATCTGTAGACATTAGCTAGTCAGTTCACCAAGTATCCACCAGCAGCCTTTAAGTTAATTTACTGCACACTAAAAAAAAAGGCATAGAAAAGTGAGTGAAAAAATACAATCAACATGTAGTGAGCTCTGTCTTTTTGTTTCTAAATGCTAGTGTATAATCTGTTTTTAAAAATTGGGATATGAAACATTCTTATCTGAGAACATGAAGAGTTTGTGCTCATTTATTTTGCTTTTTTAGCACTAACTAGGAGATAAATGGGGTGATCAATAAGTCTTTCATACTCAGAATAACAGATTATATGAAATTAGGAACAGATGTTATACTCTTGGACTTTCCCCTCCAAGGGATGTTTCCCCTCTTGGACTAAATTTATAGACATAGAGTAAATAAGCTTTCAGAACCAGAAAATTGAAAATAGCTTCAATATAGACATTTCTTTGGAAGATGTTTGTAGAATGCACTTAAATGTCTGATTTCCCTTGACAATTATTATGTATTTGCCAGCAGAACTGTTATAGTTTCTAGTAACTTCTAATCAAAACAGTCAGCTGCCTGTGTAGAGGTACAATCAGAGAGGTCAATAATGAGGTGCTTTTTTTTCTTTTTAATTTGACATAATTTCAGACTTACAGAAAGTTGAGATAGTACAAAGAATTCCCCTACACCTTTTACTCAGAGTCCACAAATATTAATATTTGCTTTTCCCTCTTCTTCTCTCTCTTTCTCCTCCCTGCCTCCATCTCTGTATGAGTGTCTGTATAAACTTTTCTTGACAAGGACATTGCCATGGGCTGATATGTGTCCCTTAAAGTTCATATGTTGAAACTCTAACCCCCCAGTGATGGTATCTGGAGACGGGTCATTACCTTTGGGAGGTAATTAGGTGTAGATGAGTTTATGGAGTGGGGTCGTCATGATAGGATTAGTGCCCTTATAAGAAGAGACACCAGAGGTCTTGCTTTCTCTCTCTCTCATGTAAGGACACAGCCACAAGGCAGCCATCCTCAAGCCAGAATGAGAGCTCTCACTGGAACCTGGCTGTGCTGGCACCCACATCTCAGACTTCCAGCCTCTAAAACTATGAGAAATAAATGTCTGTGGTTTAAGCCACCTAGTCTATGGTAGATGACAGCCTGAGGAAACTGATACAGTTGTTTTCTTAATGTGATGCAAGTATCAAAACAGGAAATTAATGATATAATGTTAACTAAGCTATAAACCTAAGTCATATTTTGCCACTTGTTCTAGTAATATCTTTATAGCAAAAGAAATTCCACAACATACATAAGGTTCAGTTGCCATGTCTCTTTCTTTAGTTTTCTTTAATATGGATCAGTTTCTTAGTCTTTCTTTGTGTTTAATGATGTGATAATTTTGAAGAATAAAGGCCAGTTTTTTAATAGATCTCCCTCAATTTGGGTTTGTTTGATTTTTTTTCCCTCATGATTAGATTTATTCATTTTCCCCCAGAATACAACAGAAGTGATGTATTACTCTCAGTGCATCATGTCGGGATGTATGTGATGTTGCTTTGTTACTGGTGATGTTAATTTGCTCACTTGATTAAGATGGTGTCTGCTCGGTTTCTCGAGCATGAAGGTGCTATTTTCTTCCTTCCCTTTGTAATTATGGGAAGATTGAGATTATGTAATTCTCTTCGACTTCGACCCCCTTTAGCATACATTGATGATTCTTGCCCGAAACAATTTATTACAGTGATGTTTACCAAATATTTTTTTAAGTTCCATTTTTCTTTATACATTTATTATTTGCCTTTTACTATAAAAAGTTTTCCCTTCTCATTTCTCTAATTTTAATTCCCCTATTCTTTGGACTACTTTTTTTTTTGTTCTGGTTGGCAGTTCAGCAATTGTACTTTGGGTTCTTATCAGCTATTTAAATACATATGTGAATTTCTTATGATAGAATATCTTACACATAGTGAATTTTCACTTATGACTATCTTTAATGAAAATTCTTCTTGAACATTTTCTTACCAAATTATCTTGCCTAATAATTCTTAAGTTCCTATAGGTTACCATTTTCACCAACATTGATTGATTTAGTCCTCATAATAATGTGAAGATGGATGTAACTATATTTGATCAGGAAGAGTGACAGAGGCTTAGAGAGGTTACGTGATATGTTGGAGAGCTACAGAATAGCCATGTACAGTGTAGAACCCAGGTCTTCTAACCCCAACTTCCTTTTTTGTCCACCACTCTCCTACCACTTTTCCTACTTTCATTTAGGTGTATTTTTTTTAATAAAATTTTCAAATTTTCTCTGTCTGGAATTTCCTTGATATATAATTCTAATTGTAATTTGTGCAGTCCTTTTGAATAAACTAAGTATCTCTTACACCTCAAGAATATATGGAAGCTTTATCCAATCATTTGTGCATTTTAAAGAGGAAATCAAGAGCAACATCCTGGCCTTTTTCAATTTTGCTTAGGATTTAGGAAAGATATTAGACTCTGTCTCCCCCTTGGAGGAAACGTCTCTTATTCTCTTCATTGAAGATTCTGTTGTGAGTTTCAATTCTACACAAGACTGTAATCTTTTATGAGCTTCCACTAGTCCCTTTGTTAGATGGTTATTATTTTTATGTCAAATAAATTGGAAATAACATCCCAAATCCTAATAGGTCTTATCTTGAGTAGATAGCAATAAATGGTAATATTTTATTCTTTTCTGAATAAAATGCATGTAGTCATCATGTATATACTTTTCAGCAAAATATCTGATTTGTTTGTGTGCCTCCTTGTTTTACAGGGTGTCATTTGTAGGAACTCCTTTTTTAGTTTCTTTAATTCTCTTATTTATAAAACATTTTTAACAGACTTATTGAGGTATAATTTATATATCACAAAATTCACTTGTTATAAGTTTACAATTAAATAATTTTTAATAAATTTGCACAGTTGTGAAATCACTAATATCTATTTTTAGAATAAAAGGGGAGAGAGAGCATGAGTGAATGAGTGAGCACACCAGAGCTCAAGTGCAAGATCTGACTGTCTCTTCTTATAAGGGCACTCTTTCCATTATGAAGCCCCACCCTCATGACCTCATCTAACCCTAATTACCACCTAAGGGTCTCATTTCCAAATACCATCACTTTGAGAGGTAGGGCTTCAACATATGAATTTTGGGAGGACACAAATATTCAGTTTGTAACACTGATTTCATGAGATTATTGGAGAATCAAATAATAACTAATAGTATTGTGTTTTCTGCTAGCCACTATTCTAAATGCTTAATATTTCATTGATTAATTACTCACAGTAACCTCAAGAATTTTAGATGCTATTATTTATCCTCATTTTACAGATGAAGAAATCTGAGATTTAAGGAAGTAGAGTAAGTTGTTCAAGGTCGTGCATGCGTGCGCGCGCACGCGCGCGCGCATACACACACACACACACAATCTAAATTAGCTCTTTTTCTTCATACTTTCCTTAAGTGTGACCCATTCATTAAGGCCCAGCTCAACTTTTTCCTCCTTTAGGAAGTTTTTCCTCATGCCCTTCAACTTTGAGAGATCTATCTCTGATATGACTTTTTAATAGCATTAATTGTCTATACCATTCTGATTTAGCCTGTTCTTTTATGCTGCTGTTATTCAACTTGGTATAACTTAAGTAAATTATAAGCACTTCACGACCATGGGCTGTGACTTTTATCTCCTCTATCTCCTGCATTTAGAATATAGTTAAGTACGTAATTGTTGGTAAAGGTGATTAAATGTGAACATTAGGAAACCTCAGATCAAAGTAATAGCTTAATTTATAAAAGTGAAAGAAAATTATATAAATTTGTCTGAATTAGGATAAGTTTATAAATGGTTTGTGGAGAGCAGAAGACATTCCTGTGTTTTAATATATTGATATTTTGAATATTAGCTACCAAAAAGAATATATATTATGTATAGAAATTATTACCTTAATTTTCAAAGTTAGCATGTTTGGAGAATTAGACTCAGTGTGTCCTTATCATTCGTTTATTTCTTCTGCTACTTGTGGCCATGTTGTACATTAGACTTTACAGAAGAGGAGTTAGGTTGGGAGTTAGTTTTATTTTGAATTTTGAAAAGCAGTTGAAGTAAGTTGGACCTTACTGAATTAAATGTGTGAAAGACACAATGTTGTGAAAGACATTAATGTTTCAGCTGCCCTCTATAATGGCTCAGAACACTTGGAGAACAAACATCTTGTGCTATAAATGAAAGCTAATTGACTAAATATAGACTATCCTGGGTCTCTATCCATATAGCATTTTTTTTTCTGTACAAGGTGGTTTGGGAAGGTAAAATGTAGAATGTTAGAATGTTTTTGGCTGGAATGTATTAGTAAAGAAGTAGAATTGCAAATTATGGTTCTGATTTTCTTATCTATCAATATAACAGAGATTATAATACTTAAAACTTGACTCCTTCAAGTAATGAGTAAAACCCCAAATCTACATCTACAATGTAGTGGTCTGTGGCTTAGGGAGAGATTTGGAATAGCTTTATAGTCCACTGTTGTAGATGCTATGCTAGGCACTTTTATAAATTGTATAATCATCACGATAACTCTCTGAGGTAAGGTAAACATTGTCTTCATACTCTTAAAATGAGGAATGAAAAACAGATTAATTGTATAACTTGACCAAACTAACATGTATGATAAGTGGTGGAAGTTGAACCTGGCCTTGTTTGACTTAGAATTCAATAGTAATGATGTTGATAATGCTGTTAGTAATAATAGTTAACATTTATTGTATTGCCTTACATGTAATATCTAATGTAATCTTTAAAACAATATTACGAAAGAGGTACATTAGTCCAGTGGTCCCCAGCCGTTTTGGCACCAGGGACTGGTTTCGTTTAAGACAGTTTTTCCACTGTGGAGGTGGTGGTGGGGTGGGGAAGGGGGATGGTTCAGGCGGTAACGGGGAGCAATAGGGAGTGGCAGATGAAGCTTTGCTCACTCACCCGCTGCTCACCCCTCCTGCTGTGCGGCCTGGTTCCTAACAGGCCAAGCACCGGTATCAGTCTGTAGCCTGGGGCTTGGGGACCCCTGCATTAGAAAATTGAGGAATCTGAGACTTAGAAAGATTAGATAATGTGCCCAGGGCCATATTGGAAGTGCTGGAGCCTGAACTGTAATGCACATCTATTTGTCAGCAAGATCTGTACACTACAGGACAGTATGCTCCCACCCTCTAAAGCTGGTCCTGTTTACATTATGCTCACTTAATTCAAGTGTGGACTCCAAGATTAGGAACACATGTAGTTTGGCAGTATCTATCAAATCTATATATTCAAATTATATTTCATCATAAACTGGTTTGTCAACTAAAAATTATCTATTTCATATAGACAAATTGGTTTATAAACTAAAAATTAATCAGGCCTGTATCAGATATCTCCTACTCTAATGAAAATACTATTTGAAATCACTTAATTGCTGAAGAACTGATACAGATTTTAACTTGTTGCTTATCATCTTTGTAACATTATTGAAGGATTTTTAAGATATTTCTGAAAACTGATGTATGAAGATATAATCGTAGAAACAGAGTGATTGTAGGAAAAATCAAAGATGAAAACAAATTTCTTCTTTTGGATAGGAAATATTTATAGTTTCTTTTGTACATCCTTTTTTAGGTCATTCTCATCTTGGCTGCTACCGACCCAAGGATTATAAGGTATGTAGTATAAATTACAGGACAATAATTATCCTGGCTTTCAGATTAGAGCATTAGTAAATGTCTTATATGTATGGTCAGATATTATCATATTCATTTAGTCAAGAAATTTACAAACAATAATTGTCATATTATGGAATGTCATTATTTTGTGTATGTTGTCAGGTGGTAGGATAGACTTTTCATTGAGTGTCTTGCTACAAATATTTTGTGACTTTTGATTGTTCATTACTTGTTTGTGTATATGTGTGTGTGTGTGTCTGTGAGACAGAGACAGAGAAATTGGTTGCTACTTTTAGGGATACTTCACACAGTAGTATTTCTAAATTTCAGTCATTCGTAGAGCAACCTCATAATTTTTACAATACCTGCATGTAATTTATGCTGTCTTTTAAAAATTCACCTTGTTTTTATTTATTTCACCAGTGTAAATGAAAAATCAGTATCATATACTTTAAATGGATGATAGCCTTAAAAATACAGCAAAAACAAAACAACGTTACTAAATTCTGGCTAGAACACTATTGTTTTCCAAAGGCTCTGAGACATGTTCTCTTTTTCTTAAAATGAGATAAGCAATGATAGACAGGTATAGGAGACATACCAATAGCTAACTGAAGATTTCTGATTGAAAGAGAATTGAAAAGAAAATATATTTTTTCTTTTGGGATTCAGTACCCTTTTAGTGTATGTCCATGTGCTATATAAAATAATCTTGTGTATCATCTAAATTCATTTTGGGTACCATACTCAGTTATCTGCTACACCACTAGTAGTTCATGTTCTACATTTTGAGAAGTACTGCCCCAGAGTTTTTCTTTTCTGTCCCTAAGTGTAAGCTTCTTAATAAGAAGAGGCATCATAGTTGGGAAAACAAAACAAAACAAAAAACTTAGCTTTCCTTATAATACCGTTGTTTATTTACTTGAAAACAATTTATCCCATGCTTACTGGCACTGAACAGCATAGCTCTTTGCCATGCTTTGATTGTGATAAAAGAAATATGGAACAAGCCAAGGCACCATGTGACTAAGGGGCCAGATCTACCAGAGAGTCAGAATCATCAAGGTGGAACTTTATAAAAGTTTATTCCAGGCCTACTAAATTAAAATTGTTGAGACCGTAGACTAGAAATTTTTATTTTAAACAAGTTTCCAGTGATTCTTATGCAACTCTTGCTGTCTATCCAAGGATTGGTATTTGAGAACTACTAGTATAGATGTGGATATAGCACTTGAATAGAACCATTCCTTGTATAGCATTTGTATAGGGTCGTGCCCTTGCTTAAGGCTGTCCCTAGAGGAGTGTGGGCCTGGCATAATTCCCCTGGTGCAGACCTACCCTATTATGTGGAATTTATTCAAACACATACATGGGTACTGATCTGTGTAATATATATGTGCATGCATGCGCACGCACACACACGCATCAAGAAGCATAATGTTTGTTGTCTTGCATGGGGCCCAGGGAAGTTACCTTAGTTGTAATACCAAAGGGACAAGCCTATCTTCAAGTCATGTTTCACAAGTTTTATTTATTTTCTTCTTTATTTGCATCTTTGTTTTTTTTTTACTAATCTGTAAGTTCCAGAATGGCAAGGATCTTATTGATCATGCTTATTGACAATTGCTACATATTGTCTGATATACGGTGTGGATTCCTAAAATATGCGTTGCGTGAGTGGGTTATGAAGAGAAAACAAGTAAACCAAATACACAAAAGTATAGAATGGGGAGAAAGGTATAAAGTTTATAGGACACTAATCTTTATCCTAAGGTAACTATAATCCAATTCTACATTGACTGGTCCATTTAGAGGTAGGTGATATATTTAGAATCCTCTTTTCTAAATGAATTCTTTAAAAGAACTTCACTTCTATTCCTCTTTAATATCCACCCACCCTCACCTCTGTATTCTTCACTTTTAGAGTTAGAGTAGAAGTTATCATTCATACCACCTTTGTAAAGCTGTGGGTGGTAAGTGAGCTCACAGGATTATTTCTGTATTGAAGAGGTAGATTTTCACAGAAATACATATGCAGCATTGAACAGTGCTGTCTTTTCTATGAAAAATATAAAGGGCTATTTTCTTATAGGCATGTAGTAACTGGTAGTGGAACACTATAGGATTTCTACAAGGAGAAGAGTTGTGAAACTAGGAGTGCTTTGCAAAAATTTTTTAGAAAAGTGGGGCTTGGCCTGAGTTCTGTTGAGAAATATATTCTGCAGAGGCAAGGGAAGAGAGAGAAGAGTGTCTTAGAAGGAAAACAACATGAAAAAGCCTTGGAGTTTAGAATAAGTACATTGTCCTGGAGGCAAGGGGGAAACTACTGGTCTGGCTTGAGTGGAGGGCATATATTGAGGAATAATGGCTATTTAACATATTTATTTTCTATTTTTCCTACTTCTTCATACCTATTATATCTGCCGCCTCCCTCTTTAAGATTTCTAGTTACTTGGTCATTAGCTGTTCTTTTGGCCAAAGTCACCTCTCTTTACCGTGGATGCATTATAATCAGCTGTTCTATAAATACAAAGTTCTCAGAAAAAGAACACACCTCTCAACCTGCCTCCCTATATCTTTATTGTTCCCTGTTTCTTCGTCCTTTCATTGCTAGACATTCAAACGAATGACCCAATGCAGCCAAAAATTAATTAGTTAATTTAAAAAAAATAAAAGCCTGGAAGTGAATTAAGTCACTTCTTATATTCCATTGACAAGAACTAGTAACATCTAGAAGCAAGATGAGGAAGGTGGCTAGCAAATAGAGATCCTAGTTAGGCAGCTGTTTTCCACTGAAGAGGGGTCATAGATTTTAGTAGACCACTGACCATATCTGTCATAGTCTGCCTATCTGCCACCAAATATCCCTTTCTTCCCTCACACAGAACATACTTCTGTCCTCTTCCAGGAAAATCACTTGAAGTTCCATCATTCAAGTTCCACTTGAATCTAGCTTGAAGTTCAGGATCTTTGAGTGTTGGATAAGCCAGATCCAGATAGACTCCCTGTGATCCAGTGACCTGTGAACCAAGACAAGTTACTTCTCCCCTCCCTCACCTTCTCACTCTACCTGAACCTCATTTCTGGTATGTTTTGTTAGAGCAGGGATAGGATAACTGGAAAAAAATGGTGCTCTTATTTGCAAAAGGGAGAAATAGAGAATGAAGAGCAGTTACTAGTCTACAGCAATGATAAATGCTGCTGGGCAAGCTTTGTGAACCTAATAGGCAGGTGCCCCGCTGCCCTGATAGGAGAGGAATGTCCTTTCTTAGACCTTGCTCTCCATGGGCCCTGACTCTACCCTGCAGCTGGCTTTTCCATGTCCATTTATTATCCCACATGGCAGTGAGTTATCCTCTCTGAAATGGGTTTGGAGGATTTGATCTCTTGGGACTGCATAGTTTTCTAGCCCACTTCCTACGGTTAAAAATTTTGGGGCCTGAGAGCTATTTTATAGACTTAGGCTCTTAAAGGCCAGGTTCTTGATTTCTTAGGCAATATAGACTTAGGCAAGTATCAACTTCTCATTTCTTTGCTTGCAGTCAGTTTAATGTTTCAGTAAATACACACAAAGTTGTTTTCTTCCCTCTAAATATAATTCTGAAGTCTGATTTATTTCTTTAGTTCTTATGCCTTTTAATGGCACTTACCTTTTGAGGCCTTTTGAAGTAGGCTCAGATGGGAAGTAACCTCCTCAATATGTTTTTTGTCTTAGGATTTCGTTTCTCTGTTTCAAAGTTTTAATGGCCCTTTGTTCAAAGCTCAAAGCCTTTTTCTGTCTTAACCTTCTACATTTTGTGTCCACACGCAGTTGGCACTCACTTTTCCTGGCCCTCGACTACTAAAATCTTTCTATACTATTTCATTTCTGCTCTCAAACCAATCTCTCCTGAGCTCGTCATTCTTGAAATCCCTTGCTCAGTATAAGTAAAAGCCAACACACACTACATCTCTTGCCCTTTACAGCTATTTTCCTAGAGATAATAAGCTTGAAAGTTATGTGGTCTATCTTCCCAGCTGTTGCAGGCCACAGTTTTATTTTGCTACTGCATTATTGGATCTTAAATTTTCAATCCTCAAGTATCTATTCCCTTGCTTCCTGCTCCTGACTTACAGGCCAATGCATATTTTGGTCTATGTTAAGACCAGTACAGTAAGATACTGATTTCTGAATTGTTTGGGGTAATGCTATTTGCTATAGAAATAAACCTACAAACTTCAGAAAGTTAATATAATAGAAATTTAGTTTTTATTCACATAATAGTTAATTTAGGGTGCCTCTAATCTGCATACTATTTTTCCGTGCAGTGACCCCATTCTGTGCCTTTGCCTTACTCTAGAGCTTTGCTGTCCTCTTCACATGGTGGAAAATAAAGGAGAACCTGAAGAGGCATATCTCTTTCTTAAAAACCTTGGCCTGGAATTGACACATAACATTTTTACCTACACTCTGTTTGCCAAGAACTAATCAGATGGCCACACCTGGATGCAAGGATTGCTTCTCAGCAGTAATTCTGCTCTGGAGGAGGGAAAGATGAATTGTGATGGAAAGCTAGTTATTTCTTCTGTCACATCTAGAGTGCCTTGTCCCTCTCCCCTCCCAACTTCTCTCTTACCATTAGGAAAGATGATATGACTGAAACTCTATTATGCTAGAAATAAAAAAATTAGCAAAACTAGAAACTCTCTCTGCCTGAATTCATGGATATTTCATGATGATGAGGGAGATAGGTAATAATAAAATCACAAAAATAAATATATACTTGGAACTGAGATAAATATCATGGGGGACATGCATGCTAGCTTGGACTAGTTATATATTAGGAGGATTTGAACTGGTGAAGGAAAAAGGAAAAAGGATCTTGAGGACTGGTGATTGCTCTTGAGCTCTGAAAGTGAGTAAGAATTTACTGTGTGAAAAGGAGGGAAGGACATGTGCAAGGGAAAAGTGAAAGTAGCATTTATAAAGGTTCAGTGGCTAGGCAACTAAAAGACCA